CACTTAGCCAAGAAATCATCAGCTTCAGCCCAATTCTGTTAATTGACTATCCTCCAAGACTTGCATTATTCTCAAAAGAACACTTTAATCGCTCAGATTACCTACCACTGTGTTTTTATATTAAGGCAGGTATTAAGCCAATTAAATTAAATAGTATATAAAAAGCAGCCAGAGGGATTTATTGGAAGTGTGTTTGATTTGATTGAAGCTTTAATTGAGACCTTGGCCCTCAGATGAAGATTCCTATTGGAGATGTGAAATCTAGAAATTACTGTTCACATCAGTGTGCAAACATATAACGTATTCAGTTTGTGTTTTTAATAACTGAGTGAATGATTAACTTTAATTAGACTAGTAACTCCGCCAATACAGCAAGGTACGAAGGTAATCAGCATTCTACCTCTGATAATTAATGGTCATTTTGAGGCTGATGAAACAAAAAGAGAAAGATTGAGGGGACGGAAGTGCATCAGGAAAACAGGACAATTCAGAACAAGTCGTGTCCAAGTGGAGATGGGCTGAGTGAGATCAGCTTGAAGGGAGAGGTTGGATCAGCATGGGGTGAGGTCACTATGTTTTGTAACGAAAGCACATCCAGAGGAATAAAAGCCAAAGCGAATGTGGAAAGGACATTTCCTCATGCAGTTGAATCCAGAACTAGGGAGCACTGTGTAAAAATTACAGGTCACCTCTTTAGGACAGAAGTGAGGGAAAATATTTATTCTCTCAGTGGGTTGAGTGACTTTGGGGGTCTCAGTCTCTGAAGGTGGTGGAGACAGTGTCATTGAATCTTTTTAAGTCAGATTCTTGTTAGGTAGGGGAATATAAGTGTGGTAACCCCTACGAGGCCCAACTTTCATTCCAGCGGTGGCAATGTGGCTAAGGGGACTTGTGCCTGGCCACTAGGCCCATGGCCCATGACAGAGCACTTAACAAGGACTGTAAATTTGAACACTTTCTTTATTTCTTCATTTTTCTGCTTTTATATTCTATGTTTTGGGGTTTTAAGAGGGCAAACTACACAACACTTTTCACTGTATTTTGTAACAAGATACACGTGGCGATAGATAGGTAGATAGATAGATAGATGGGAAATCACTAATTAATCTACTTGTGAGGCTTGTTGAAGATGCATTCCTTTGGTAACAGACAATGGCCTGTCCAGCTGGAACTCATCACCTGAGCCTGGCCCTCTTCTGGAGCAGTGGTTAGTGTCCCTATCCTTGGAGGGAGAAGGCCTGGGTTCAAGTCCCACCTGCTCCTGAGGTATGTAATAACAGGTTGATTAGAAAACTAGGCTAATAAAGCATTTTTAAAAATATTATAAAGTGGACACAGTGAGAGAAACAGAAAGAAAAAATAAAGCAGACCCCAGTTGTCTGTCTGGGCATTTCTTGTAAATATTGAATTGGCTGCATGAGCGCTTTTACTGGTGGTAGATAGTAGTTAAAAAGAGTAAAAGAAAAGGTCATGGTGATTTTGGTGATGGGAAGGTCACTCAGTTGTGTGTGATAATACTTTTGGAAAGAAATGGAAAGAGAGAAAGAGTAATAAAGCAATATCCAGGTGCCCATATGGGCTTAGCTTATGAGGAGAGACTGAGTAGATTGGGATTATATTCATTGGAATTCAGAAGATTGAGGGGGGATCTTATAGAAACATATAAAGTTATGAAGGGACGAGATAAGATAGAAGTAGAGAGGATGTTTCCACTGGCAGGTGAAGCTAGGACAAGAGGGCATAGCCTCAAGATTAGAGGGAGCAGATTTAGGACTGAATTGAGAAGGAACTTCTTCACCCAGAGGGTTGTTAATCTATGGAGTGGAGTAGTTGACACTACTTCAGTAAACGTTTTTAAAGATAAGGTAGATTTTTTTTGAACAATAAAGGAATTAAGGGATACGGTGAGAACACGGGTAAGTGGATCTGAGTCCACGAAAAGATCAGCCATGATCTTATTGATTGGCGGAGCAGGCTCAAAGGGCCGGACGGCCTACTCCTGCTCCTACCTCTTATGTTCTATATTTAATTGGCTACACAGGTGATGACTGGTGGGAGTTAAAAAAGGAGAAAAAAACATAGAGAGTCACAGTGATTTTGGTGGTGGGAAAGTCACTCAGTTGTGCGTGATAGTGTTTCTGGGAATAAAAAATAGAACTAAAATAAAACAGAGCCAGAAGGGCCCTGTGGCACTGTGGTAATATCCCTCCCTCTGGCCTGGGTTCAAGTTCCATTTGCTTCAGAGGTGCGTAATATCATCTCTGAACAGGCTGATTTTAACAAAAAATACCCAGGGAATGGTCTGCAGACCTGTCTTTCCCAAGCTAGGACTAGCCTAAGTGTGCTCTGAGTAGTGGCGCTATTTTGGTGTTCAACAATAAATGATGTTACTTTCCAGTCAGGCTTCCTTAATTATTACATTGGTGTCAAGAGTCAAGAACAGTTTCGGATAGCCTGGCATTTCAATGACAGGGAGATATTGGAAATCCCTCTGTTTGGGAAACTGGAACCTTTTGATCTGGTTGTGGAGGATTGCCCCCAGTGTGCCAAAAAAATGAGGTACTTTTTCAGACAAATGGGATAGAAGGAGATCACTAACAAAAAGTCATTCTCGTGATTACTTGTGGGTCCCCAAATTTCAGCATCGTTTAAACCATCCAGCTACCCTGGAATCAAAATCCTTTGATGAACTGATAAATATAATGGGGGCACCTCTACAGACCCAAACCATCCGCTATATCGCAGCATGACAGGTTTAAGGTGGCAAGTCTACTTTCTGGGGAACCAGTTACTGAACACTGTTAGTTTGGGTCAGTTCTTCTGGAAAAGTTAAGGAGTCATTTAGTTTGTGGAAGTAATAATATTGCAACCCAAAGGAAGTTACTGACAGAACCAGGACCTGGACATTGAGAAAGCTATAAATCTGGCCTTTCCCCACGAACACTCAGAAAACGGGTCTTGGGAGCTTCAGGGGTCCTTAACCTTTACCACAGAGCCATGTCCCCAGTGGACAATACTCGCAGCTCCCGTTGATCGCCAAGGAAGGGCAACCAGAGTTGGAGGCTGCAAGGTCCAGAACAGGGTGAGAAGTTTCTCCACAATACAGTGAGGGGCAAGAATATCCATGCCGCTGTTGTGGTCATAGGGTCTGCCTCAGACAAAATCACCAAAACAGGCGAAACACGCACCGCCTGGTTTGAAGAGTGAAGTCAACTCAAGACAGGACGTTGCAAAATAAATCAGCCCGAGGATGAGGAACTGATACAGCTAAGTTGCGTCACTGCTGTCAAAGTGGCCCCTATTAATATAATACTTCTTAGACATGGAGGTAGACTCAGTTATCAACCATGTGTTGTTGAGGAGCAAACCTTTCATTCCAATGGGGCATCTTGTCTGAAGTCTGCGAGACACCAAGGCTAGTTTTGGCCACATACATTGGTGAACCCTTACATATTAATGGGAGCACTATAACTCCAGTAACGCATGGGCAACAGACAGTCTCATTCCCCTTGCTGGTGGTGCAAGGGCCAGTCCCAACTTTTTGGGAAGGGACTGAATACAGAAAATCAGCCTGGGTTGGCAACAGATTTTTAAAATGGGTACCGGCAATCTATAAAGTATCAGTTGAGCTTCCTGAGTTATTACAAAAAGGTTTTCCTGGATAGTTAGGAATGTGGAATTCCAAACACAAATACCATAATTGAATAGATTGGCAGGACTAGGCTCGAGGAGCCCAATAGCCTAGTTCTGCCTCTAAGTCACTTGTTCATACTGCAGGTTCATTCAAAATTATCTCAAATTAGGAACAATTCAACTTAGAATAAAATGAAATAAAGAACTATGGATGCTCGAGATCTGAAACACACTAAAACAAAAATTGCTGGAGAAGCTCAGCAGGTCTCGCATTACCTGTGGAAAGAAAACAGAGTTAACCTATCGAGTCCGGTGACCCTTCTTCAATTCTGATGAAGGGTCACTGGACTCAAAATAATCACTAGGCTTTCTCCATTGATGCTGCCAGACGATACATCTTAGGTCTGCTGTAAGTGCAAAATAATATCAGCAACAGAGACTAGTGTCTTGGGGATAGCAAGAACTGCAGATGCTGGACTCAGAGTCAATAAAACATGGAACTGGAGGAACACAGCAGGTCAGGCAGCGTCAGAGGAGCAGGAAAATTGACATTACGGGTTTACACCCTTCATCAGGACTCATCAGACTAATGTCTTAGAAACTGTAAAATACCCCAAAGGGATTCATGTAATAAAATTTAACATTGAACAACTTATCATGACAGATCATCAAATGGCCAAAGAGCTACTTTAAGAGAGAGAGGGGTAGAGAAGGAATCTCAGAGGTGTAACAAGTTATAGGGAGAGCTTGGGTGCAAGGTGCTCATGAGAGGGCAACATTGGAAGAATGCAAAGAGTTGTAGAGCTGAAGAAGATTACAGGTATAAGGAGTTAAGTGTGGACTTGAAAGGAAACCCGGTTGCTAAGCTGTGTAGCTACACAGCCACTGGGAGGCACTGCACACACCAATCACCATGCTGACTCATATAGCTTTGACTTCCAGAAACCGCTCATACAGTGGAAAACAATTTATAGGGAATATTAATAGAGAAATATTAAAGCAAGGGTTAGAATTTTAAAATCGAGGTGTTGTAAAAAGGGAGCCAATGGCAGTCACAGGTATGAAGGGGGAATGGGATTTGGTGTGAATGAAGTTACTAGTGGCAGAACTTTAGGTTTTATCGATGGTGGATATTGAAGGTTAGTGAGGAGATTCCAGTGTAAAGGTTGAGTCCAGTGAAGTGTGGAAGAATCTTCTACTAGCAGATGAACTGAAGTAGAAGTGGATACAGTCAATTTTACGCATTTGTGTTCAGGATCCATTTGGGAAAGGGTGTGTATGTTAATATGAGTACATAGTCGTAACCCATTCAGCAAGTGTGAAGCTGGAGGAGAATGATCAAAACTGTTGATGTTCACTTTTATTACCCTGTTATCATCCAGAGTCCTGAAGATCTGCTCAGCGTATTCGGAAGACTTGGGACCCACAGTCCCATCACAAAAGTGTCGCCTGAACTCATGAAGGGTGATCAACCCACTAGGACACTCTTTGATGAATTTTCTGTAAAAATGTAATAGCTCAAAGTTAATAATCACCAGTAATTCCTGTTGTTTACCATTGCTGAGGGGGTAGCTCATGACTTTCTTGAACAAGAGTGGCAGGACTAATGAATGAAGTAAGGCAGGACCAGTTAGTACTTTATTCACTGGAGTTTAAAAAAATCCGGGGATGGGATTTCATAGAAACTTACACAATTCTAAATGGACCAGACTGGCTAATAGCAGGCAGGATGTGTCCAATGGCAGGGAGTCCAGGACCAAGGATCACAATCTAAGGTTACGGGCTAGTCCATTTAGGACTGAGATGAGGGAAAATTCCTTCACCCTGAGAGTGGTGAGCCTGTGGAATTCTACACCACAGAAGGTAGTTGAAGCCAAAACATTGAATGTTTTGAAGATAGATATACTCGTTAGCACTAGAGGGATCAAAGGAGCAAATGTGGGAATAGGCACTGGGTATGATGGTCTGCCATGATCATATTGAATGGTTGACCAGGATCAAAGGGCTGAATGGCCTACTCCTCTTCCCATTTTCCTACGATTTTGTGCTTTTTTTCTATGTTTCTGTGTCAGGAGATTGTGACCTCATGACAACAACAAAAATTTGTATCCGTATAGCATCTGTAATATAATGAAAGATCCATTATAAAAGACCAGCAAGGTTTGAGATTCATAAGGTGATAATGGGGCAATGGTTAAAAGCTTTTTCAAAGAGAAACGTTCTAAGGAGCATCTTAAACAAGTCAGACAGAAATGGAGAGGTTGGAGGCTGCAATCAGATCTGCCACATTCTTATTGAATGATGAGCAGACTCAAGGAGCTGACTGGCCTATTCCAACTCTTACTTTGTACATTTGCATGTATTTTGAAATTTCTGCTGGTTGGTATGAACCAATATCCTCTCTAAGTGTTCTGACTCCCACGGCTGCCTTGACAATAATTTCTTACAGACTGTAAGGGCTCCATTCCATTCTCCCAGTCTCTCTGGCCATGACACCTATCCCATGATGGCTCTACCATGCAGCTGTCTTCCTTTTTCCTCAAAGGGGGATTCTCCTCCCACCCCCTCATCCTGTGTTCGGAGACTTGATCTTCACCATTGCATTGCCCACATTTCTGTTCTTCTTGGAGAACCAATTAACACACTTTGTTCCTGCAGTATAAATTGTTGTGTTCCTTTGAAATTTGGCATTCTTGCATCATGCCCTGACAGGTACAAGATGAAAAGCTTCAACAACCAGTCTCCATTTTCAATAAGATTCAAGTTCAATGCTACCCTCCTCCTTTTGCCTTCCACTGTGAGATTTTGTGGCATTTAATCTCTCCTGCCTTCCACCTTATCACAAAACTTCCTTTTCGTTCTTTTCCTACATCCTGGCCATTCCTGCCCGGGTTAAATTCTGTCACATTTGAAAATGCTCCAGGTTCTGACAAAAGATCTTGTATCTCCAGCATTAACCCTGTTCCTTATTCCAGCAATGCTCCTGATCTGCTGAGATTTCTAGCATTTTCTGTCTCAATTACTGAGATGCAATGACCATACTAAATGGGAATAATTATTCAAGTGGAATACCTCCTAACTATAGCTGCTGATTCTACTGTTTGCTGCAGTGCTGGTGATGCTCTCATTTATTGCAAAAACCAATAGTAAATGCTATAAACTCTAGCCGAATACATTGCTTGGAATTCTGTTCTGATTAAACTCTTAGAAAATAACTCTACAATACATGGACAGCAATGGTTTGTTAATGGAATGATATGAAAGATTACCTGTACCATACATGAAGTTCCAGAACATATGTATCCTTCCTCCTTGGAGGAAGCACAGCACTCTGGCCCATGTCTCACACAAAGCAATTCTCCAGATATAGTCTCTGAAACAATTCTCCAGATTGCAGTTTATCTTTATATACACAAGGGAAGATTAACTTCAATGTAGTTTGGTGCACTTTGAGAATTAACTTCAAAGAACATAATCTGTATTGACCTTCAGAAGTACGATTACCTTATAATTTGTGGAGTTTCATTAACCAATGGACTCTGGTTGTTTGTTCTTGCTATGTACCTATTGCTGACTCAAGGTCAACATATGTTTCCCAGCCTTAGATTCCCTGACCATGAAAATATCATAAATTATTGTAAATAGCATCGGGTTCATTAATGATCCTTTGAGAAAGAAATCTGCTGTCTCTAGCGAGTCCGACTGATATGTGACTCCAGAGGCAATGACATATTGGTGATGCTTCTGGGACAGTAATTCAGGGGAGGCAATGGCCTAGTAGTATTATTGCTGAACCGTTAATCCAGAGACCCAGACAATGTTCCAGTGACCCAGTTTCAATTCCTGCCACGGCAGATGGTGGAATTTGAATTCAATAAAAACAAAATCTGGAGTCTAATGATGACCATGAATTGATTGTCAGGAAAAACCATCTGGTTCACTAATGCCCTTTAGGGAGGGAAACTGCCATCCTTACCCGATCTGGCCTACATGTGACTCCAAAACCACAGCAATGTGGTTCATACTTAACTGCCCTCTGGGCAATTGGGGACAGGCAATAAATGCTGCATAGCCAGCGACACTCTCTTCCTGTGAACGAATTAAAACAAAATCAATAAGCCACACCTCCGGTCTAATGTTCTAGGGTGCTAGGTTTGAATCCCACCATAGTAGATGGTGAGGACTGAATTCAATTTTTAAAATCTCTGGACTTTAAAGCTAGCCAAATAATGACCTATAATCACTGTTCTTCAGGGTGGGGGAGTCCAAAACTAGAGGTCATAGGTTTAAGGTGAGAGGGGAAAGATTTAAAAGTGTCAAAGGGGCAACTTTTTCACACAGAGCATGGCACATGTATGGAACGAGCTGCCAGAAGAAATGGTGGAGGCTGGTACAATTATACCATTTAAAAGGCATCTGGATCAGTACATGAAAAGGAAGGGTTTAGAGGGATAGGAGCCAAATGCTGGCTAATGGGACTCGAGTATCTTAGGATATCTGGTTGGCATGGAAGAGTTGAACTGAAGTATCTGTTTCTATGCTGTAACAACTCTATATCTCTATGACTCTTAACTGTTCTCTGAAATAACCCTAACAAGCCACGAGTATCAAAGGGCAATTAGGGATGGGCAATAAATGCTGGCCTAGCCATCGACACCCTCATCATGTGAATGAATTTAAAGAAGTGTTATTTATCCTTATCATAACATCTAAAGGACATTAGATTCCTGGAATCCAGTGATTTCACAATCAAGAAACTAATAAGCTCTCTTTTAGAATACACTCTAGTTCGCTCTGGTCTTAAAGGGAATATCACGCAAAAATAAAATTTTCCTAAACATAAATCATCACAATACTTTCTTCATCTACCCCATTGGTAGCCTCTTGGTACAACGATAATGGAGTTCATAACTAATCACAGTGATCAATTTCTATCAATGAGTCTATATCAGACCCAATTAGAGAAACACCAGTGATGGGCATCTTTGGGAACTGTAGACTCGTGTTTACCCATTCCTCTTTCATATTACTCTATTATTATCTGAAAATATTATTTTGGAAAGGGGCAGACAGAGATGGTCTAGAAACTGAAGAGACCTGGTATCATATCACACAGGTTCCCACCACATGCTGTTGGCTTCAATACAGGATAGGAGTCCAGAAGGGAAAGGTGGAAACTGGTGTTTGTGCTAAATGATAGATTTATATTGTAATACAATAAAGTCAGCCTGTTAAACATTAAGGAGGTGAAGGTGTGAGAATGCTTCAAGGGATGGGGTATCTCACTTTGGCAGGAACAAGAGAAGGACTGAATATTTATTCAAATAGGGAAAGACCGCAGGAAGCTGCAGTGCAATGCAATTTGAGGGTCTTTGTGCAGCCAAGTTCAGTGGGTAATACTGGAAACAAATGGACTATTGGCCTTTATTTTTAAGGAAATGGAGTATAAAAATAAAGAAGTCTTGCTAAAACAATACAAGGCATAAATTAGACCACACCTCGAACGATTTGAACAGTTCTGGTCCCCCTGTCTGGCATTGGAGGCAGTCTAGAAAAGGTTCACTAGGTTGATTCCAGGTATGGAGGGATTATCTTATGAGGACAGTTTGAGAAGTTTGGACTGACAAGTGGAGAGTAACCTTCTCATCACATAAATGCCAGGCAACGACTATCTCCCATAAGAGACTATCTAACAACCGCCCTTTGACATTTAATGGTGTTTTGGAATACTCTCTACTTGCCTGGATGGGTGCAGCTCCAACAACACTCAAGAAGCTTGACACCTTCCAGGACAAAGCAGCCCGCTTGATTGGCACCACATCCACAAGCATCGACTCCCATCACCACTGATGCTGAGTAGCAACAGTGTGTACAATCTACAAGATGCTCTGTGGAAATTCACCAAAGATATTAGACACTACCTTCCAAACCCATTACCATTTCCATCTAGAAGGGCAAGGGCAGCAGATACATAGGAACACCAACATCTACAAGGTCCCCTGCAAGCCACATACCATCCTGTCTTGGAAATAAATCCTTCACTGTCATTGGGTCAAATTCCTGGAATTTCCTCCCTAAGGGCATTGTGGGTCAACCTACAGCACATGGGCTGCAACAGTTCAAGAAGGCAGCTCACCATCACCTTTTCAAGGAGCAACTAGGGACTGACAATTAACACTGTTCCAGCCAGCAATGCCAATGAATTTTTTAAAAAATAGGCTTGTACCCATTGGAGTTTAGAAGTGGTAATATTGACACCTATAGGTGCTTAACAGGGTAGATGAAAAGAGTTTGTTTTCCCTTGTGGATCTCAGACTATGGGTTCAGCCAGTTAGGGCAGAGATAAAGAGGAATTTATTCTCTCAGAGGATAGTAAATCTGTGAAATTCTTTACCACTGAAGGTTTTAGAGGCTGGCTCATTAAGTATACTGAAGGTTGAGATAGACAGACTTTTAATCAGTGAGGGAATCAAGGGCTTTGAGGAAAAGGCAGGAAAGTGGAGTTGATTATGATAAGATCAGCTGTGATCTCATTGAATGTTAGATTGGACACGATGGGCTGAAAGACTAAATACAATTCCAACATCTTATCCAAATAGATTATGAAGAGACATTGGACATGCCCTCCTTGGAGAAGACAGGAATTAAAAGGGGAGTAGATAGGGTTGTTCGATATCATGAAGGGTCCGGAAGGAGTAAGAAAACTGCTCCCAGTAGCAGTAGGATTGAGACTCAGAGGACACTGACTTCAGATAAATAGCAAAAGCAGCAAGGTAGGAAAACTGTAGTGCTCCAGGTAAAAACAGGAGAGTGGGACTGGCTGAGGTGCTATCACACAGAGTTGGCACAGGCATGACAAGCTGAATGGCATCTTCCTGTGCTGTATCTATTCTACGCTCTTATTTAAGGATGAACAATATCATTACCTCAGATTGAGGACAACTCAACAGCTTTGAACTTCTGAGGTCGGCTGCAAACAATGGAGTTGTTTTCCTGCTTACCCTTGTAACCTCACATTGCTGAGACAAACAAGTTCTGAGCATATCAGCAGGAACAGGAATCATGCTCCATGCTATTTTTGAAAATTAAATAAGAAAGCTTGCATCTGTTCAGACATTCAAGTGAGTTTATAGGATTAGGTCAGAGATAATGCAACAAGAGCGAAGTAAGTCGTCAACTTAATTCAGATTTATCAGGGGATAGTGATCACTTCTATCATGAGACTAAACCAGGTTTTAAAATAGTGAGCATTTTAGCAAATGTAACAGGACCAAGTACATTGCAAGATTGGAAATTTAAGGAGTTGTTAAGTGATTATTCTGCAGGTTCAATCTCCTGATCAGGAATTCCAGGGATTGGGAATAATGGCTATCTCACACTGATTGTCTCTGGCCCTGCGTTTTTTTTATATGAAAGAAATTCTGCTCAATTCAGAGCTGTAACTCCTTTTTGATAGTTTATAGCATAGAACAGACAAAGGAAGGCAACCACACCCATTTTTCACAGCAGTGTGATGTCTAACGATCTTCACAGCCACGCTGACAGCTGCTGTCAAATACTAAGTACATAAGGTAAGCGCGATGGTGGGGAAGGCCGCCTGATAGCCAGGAGGATAGAGTGCCAGAGCTAATTAGATTACTAAGAGATAGTAAGAACTGCCGATGCTGGAGTCTGAGATAACACAGTGTAGAGCTGGAGGAACACAGCAGGCCAGGCAGCCTCAGAGGAGCAGGAAAGCTGACGTTTCGGGTTGGGACCCTTCTTCAGAAATGGCTTACTCGCTGACTACTAGCAGATTATTAGCTGGTTATTAGCAGATTACTAGCTGGGTATTTCTACCGGCTGGGGAGGGGATGGGTTGTCAAGTTTAAGATGCAAGACACATAATGTTTAGGGTACTAACTGGGTAGGGTGCAGGTATGTAGGTTAGTACCTGGGTCGGATGTAAGCTGGCAATGGGGTAGGGTGCCAGGCGTAAGATGCCAGATGTGTAGGATATGAGTGCTGGGTAAGTAGGTTTTCAGGTGAGTACAGTGGCAGGATGCCAAGTAAATGGTGGCAGTGGAGTCATGTTTGGGGTGGTCTGGTACCCAGCAGCATTGGTGCGGTCTGCATCGATGAGGACTCATGGTGGTGAGAGAGGTGGTTAGGGTTAGGGATGGCACCAAAGATTGGTGACTTGCGTTCCAGTGGTGGTGGCGCAGCGAAGAAAGTTTGTGCCTGGCTAGAGCACGTAACAAGAAACAACTGTAAAATTGGGCACTTTCTTCTTTCCTCCACTTCTCTGCCTTTATATTCTATGTTTCGGTTTATTTTTCTGTGTTTTAAGTCAGCGCCAGGATACACGCGACAATAAATTAATAAAGTAAATAGGATGCCAGAGGGTGGGGGCAGGTTAGGCC